TGGAGGGGCCGCGTCGCGACGAAGAACGCCTCAGGCTAGGAGGAGGCCGCGCGAGGTTGAGCTGGTACGTGTCTAGCATGGCTGCTGCGGGATGTAATTGAAAAGAGAGATTCGGCTGATGAGTGCGTGGCCGAGGTCGTGATCATGGTGAAGAGACAGAGTGTCGTCTTGGGGTCATGCCACACGGCGAGTTTCACCACGACTCCTGGCGCCGTATCCCCCGGCCGCGTTTGAACCCCTGCACGGACAAGTCGACATGAAGTGCAGTGCAGAGACGCAACGAATAAACTCAATTGGAGTACCTATATCGAGATGCAAATTATAGTTCGCGCCGGGGTATCGTCATCATCGTAGAACTATCGTGTGCTTATTTACAAGCAGAGAACATGTGCTCATGTACATGCAGCAAACATGTGCCACGTACGAGCAGCGAACAACTGCGCCCCCGTGCCCCTCTTCAGTGGCCTTGCTTCCCGTTCTGCGCTTCCATGACACTGCCGTCACTGACGCTGCCCTTTTTTCCCGCCTTGGCCTTTTCCTTGCTCTCGGCCTTGGCCTTTTTGTACTTTTCCCACTTCTTCTGCGACCAGCGGTGGCAGCGCCAGACAAGGAAGACGAGAATGGTGGACGGCAGCGTAAAGGCCCAGAAGATCCAGAACTCTTCCTTGGCCGGGTTGGGCAGGGACTCGATGGAGAAGATGGCGGCGAAGAAGGCGCCGGGGAGGAAGAGCATGGTCATCATGGCGATGGAGCGCATGGCCGAGCTGTCCTTGCGCGCGGCTTCGGCAAGTTCGGCACCGAGGCGGGCGTCCTCGTGGGTCATCATGCTGCGGATCTGGTCTGCGGTCAGCGTGCTGTCTGATGCTGGAGAAGACAGAGAGAGAGAGAGAGATAGAGGGAGAGGGAGAGGGAGAGAGAGAGAGAGAGAGAGAGAGGGAGAGGGAGAGAGAGAGAGAGGGAGAGACGCACAACGCTGGACTGGCAGCCGGCGCGGGTCTCGAGGTAGCGCAGGGACGGCGCCAGGTCGCTCGTGAGCTTCTTCAGAGGCGGCACCTGGGGGCTCAGGGTCGCAAAGGCGAGGTTCCAGGGGGTCGCGAGGGTCAGCGGGTTGCGAGGTCGCGCCACTTGGCCACGAGGTCGGGCTGCTCGAGGTACTGAGGTACGAGTCAACGTTGTCCATGGTGACTCTAACATGAGATCCGTTCGCGACCAGCTCAATCTCGGGGTATCCGGGCAATGTAAAGTCGAGGCAGAGATCCTCCAGTCGCACGTCGTCAATCACAATAGCTTCAGTGTCGGCAACCTTCTGTGCAGGCGTGCGTGTAGGATCCTCATCGATTTCCTTCTTGGCGAGAGAGAACTTCTTGATGGTCTTCAGAGATCTAGCTAGGCCTGGATCGACAACCTTGACAGCTCCTAGCGAGGGGCTTTGATGGCCGGAAATCGAAGCTCCTT